TGCCACTCTACTAATACAGGCTGGTGTTAGCAGCCTTGTCTCTTCTACCCTCCCTGCCCTGCAAATTCATTTAAGAATTAATTTGGACTCATGCTGGTGTTTTTTGCACTACAACTCTGTTGCAATAGACTGCCATTAAAAACCAAGTTCTTTACTAAAGCAAATTGTGCCCTGTCTCCCAGTTGTACAGGAACTGGACTGCCCGTTCTGAATCTGAGCCAGGGCGCTGACATTGTGAGTGCTATACAGATATTTATTAAAATTAGTGCCTCCCACAACAGCTTGCAACTCTCCCTCAAACAATCAGGCTGGTTAATAAGTGGAATTTGTCTGTGCTTTCACCTACTCCAACAAGGCTTCTCTGTATTGCAGTTCAAACTTAACTACTTAAACTGATATAATTTCTTCTAGGCTTTTGTTGCCATGTACTTGGTAAAAATTAGTTTCTAAATCTTACAGTATTAAAAGGTGCACTAGATTTCAGAGTGCTGCATCTAAGAGAGCCTTCATTCTTTTCTGGCATTATGTCTTCCCTGCAGCCTGAGGTTTAATGTCTTTTTCCTGTCACTTCTTCTCTGAAACATCTACTGTCCATCTGCACAACCCCTAGCAACCAATGAGTGTGTCTCTCTTCTTCTTTTTTTTTTTGTCCCCAGACCACTACCTTGTAGTGATTCCCTTGCCAAAACAAAGACTCCAGAGCAGCAAAACACTTAGTTTTTCTAATGCCTAATGAAAGATTAAGAATGAGTGAACACCACACATTTCTCTAAACATACGTTGCATAATAATATTAGTACATCACTGCGTAACAGTCTGGCAATTCTGCAGAAAGGAATTTGTCTCCTGTTCTTAAAGCAATGTAAGTGCACAACAGTAAGTAAAGAAGCATTGCTAAACCTGTGGATGGTGAGGGCTATCACCTAAGACAACCATACCGTTTTCAGGTTTATGTGCTACCTCTAGTTACAGCTATCTAACCTTATTGAAGCAAGAAGTATGGGGAGAGAGAAGGCAGATCTTTATCTTTAGTGTTGTTTGAATTAACACAAATGAGGAAGGAAGCATTTGAGTGCTCCTGCCCACCACTTGGAACATGTTGGAGTAAAAGGTCTTCTAAAAGGGAATTTTCATGTTTAGTTGATGTAATGGCCTAACTGAGCTGTTCTAAGTAGAAATATGTTGTTCTCAATGACTGTCTCGGTGTCAGACTTGCTTGGTCACATGCAAAAGAAACAGATGTGACAGCAACTGCTGAATAATCACCCTGAAACAGTCATCTAAAATGGACATGATTTAAGGATGGAGTTAGCTGCTTTTGCTTTTTGTGTGGCCTGTCCTATTTCTGGGCTCATGCTGCTGTCTTGCACAAAGGATGCATCTTGCCTAGTTCTTTTTTTCTCTCTGCTATAGCCATATATTCTCCAAGTAAGTGCTCACCTCTCCTGCCATAAGTCTGTGCACAATCGTGCAGTTAAATAACCTGTCAACAGGTGATGTGGTAAGTTGCTGAAAGCAGAGGTCTATGGGCTTTCCTACATCTGTATGGGAAATCTAACCTGTCTTGTGATGCATGTAGGGCAGAGTCTAGAAATGTGAATCCAGGAAAAAAAAATAAATTCTCATCTTAACCTGTTCTTGCTGGCCAGAGGTAGCTGCTTAGCTACTGGTACTTCTTCCCACACAACTGCACCCCCAGCTGCTGCATCTCTGCTATCTTCTGATACTGCTTTCACAAATACAAAGTGTCCCATGGTACTACTTGGCACAGCACAATGCCTGTGTCCCTGCAGCCAAGCAGGATGTTTCTTTTACTTTATTTATTTTTCCCATCTCTTTACTTTGTATTGAAGCAGATGCTGAAGGAAACCTGGTCTTTGAAGGACAGCAGGAGTACAAAGTTGCCCTGCAACACTGGAACTGAATCTAGGTGACAGCTTTTCCTTGCCAGTTTGTCCCAGCTGTACTGGAGATCATAGCATCCCACCAGGGTTATACCTTGCCCACCACAGAGAGCAATGCAAAATATCATCCAGCTAGGGTGCTCTGGGCTGTTAGCACCCCCCAAATGCTATTTAGTCCTGCCATACTGACTCCTTTCAGGGTCGTGAAAGTTGGTGGCTTTCTTCTCCAACCCCAAAAGAGTGTTTCTTCCCCTAAGTCATCTGAGCAGTGCAAACTCAAATTACCACACCATTGCCATGCTGATAGTTCCGTGCATTACATTTTTAGGTATTTGAGAGGTCTCGTAAATCCCTGCTAAAGGGAATTATATTTAGAAGGTATCTTGTAACATATTTAATGGCTGGTCACTTACCTTGTCTCTGCAGCTTTGAAAGACTTTCGTCCTTCTTGCCTGAGTGTGAATTTGGCATATTGTATTCTGGTCTCTGTATAAATAAGGCCAATATCAATGTTGGTTGTTCAACTATAAGGTGACTTCTAGGGCTGTTAAACAGCTCTCATTTCCCCAGACACTGATGTTCTAAAATAACATGTCCATGTTTTTTCCTTTTTAGTCTTTACCTATTGTGTTATCGAGAGCAGCGTGCCAACAAATCTGAGTGAAACTGGATAGCAGAGTTCTGCCTTCCCCAAAAATGCCATTGCTGGAGAAGAAATTTCCATATATGAATTTCTAGGAGAATCTTAGATAGTGCTATGAATTACTCTGTGGGCAAGTCAAGCAGTAAAGGGGAGCTTGGCATATGACACCCTATCCGGTACTATAATCAACAGTATTGAAGTCTGTGGACACATGGCTGATAATCTGAATACCAGTTTTTAGCAGCAACTGCTATCCCCATCTGTTTTCATGCAGCTCTGAATGACTCCATTTGATACTTATGTTCACTGTACGTGTTGAAATGCAGCCCACTTCAGAAAACATGTAATTCAAATAATTTTCCCCAGGAAAGTGGAATCTTTTGAAGCATTTTTTTTTTTTTTTTTATTCACATCCCTTACAGCCAGTCTGTTATACAGAACCTGTGTAATACCAGAAAGAAGCGTAGAGCAGAGAAGTCTTTGGTCTCTTCCTTATAAATATGGAGGGGTTGCTCTTCATCACTAGTTTCTGAAGTTGTAATGAGAGTAGAGGGAAGGGTAGGGAAGATAAAGCTTTGAGAGTATTAAATAGACACATGGAAAATGTGGAGTGGAGCTCTGCCCACCCCTTTGTTGCTTCCAGAACTATCTTGTCTGTAGATTTTGGGGAAACAAAAAATAGGTTACTGTGAGTTGTCTGAGTAAGCTTGGCCATTTCTGCTCCAAGCTAGCTGTGATACGGAGGTGACTTTTGCTTTAAGAATCTCATGTGTCCAGTAGTACGTATATAAACCAGGCACTAGTGTGGTCCAGTCATGAGTCACCCTCCTCCTGCTGCAAAGGAGCACAGATGAAACTGATTTCTTTCCAGAGTGGTGCTGTTCACTTTTGCCAGCCTGGAAACTTAAGACTGACAATTCAGAGCTAAAAATAATGTGCCTGGCTACAGGGAGTGACTCAGATGCAACAAGCAAGTCTGCCCTCTCGCCACCTCCAAAAAGCCCTGTTGGCTTTCCAGCATGAGTAGCAGAAGCAGGTGGGGAACTAGTCTGAATTTTAATCTCTTTCCATCCAGTTGTCCTGTCTCCTGTTGGCATAACTGACTTAAAGAATCAAGAGCCGGTCTCTGCTCTGAAATTATTCTTGGGGGGTTCTTCCTTCTCTAGAAAAATGCTCTCTGGCACTGCAGGTAGAGTGTTGGCGTTCCAGTCCAGCAACAGATTTCTTCTGCCTGTGCCGGATATGAAGCACAGACCACAAACCATAGCATCCTCCTCAGCTTTGGGGTGGAGTGGTGAGTCACTGTGTGTGCCTGTTAGCTTTGGAACAGTAAGACTGACTGCAAAGCCTACAAGAGGAAATCTTGACTACCTCTGGCTTTATCAGGGCAGTGTTACGCTGCTGTCATAGTTGTAGCAGCTCAGAGCCCTCAGCTGCTGTGTAATTAGGTCAGTGCACATACAAGCAAGTAAATGAGAATGCACGTGGAATCACATAGCTTATTACTGTGCAAGTGAAATATAATAGAGCCTGGAATCTGTGTGAGTACAGAAACGAGCTAAGCAAAGTCGTTGCTGAAAGCTTGACTCTAAACAAGCTCTAAATACTTGGGAAAGTTGTTTGAGCAGGTGATGTTCTTGCCCTGGTCCAAAAAAGGGACTTGCTGTTTATAGCCCAAAGCTGATCCACTGGATGGCTTGGTTTGCTTGGTAACTCCAATAACAATAATAGAACACAAACCTCAGAGCGACCCTCTTGCCAGGCCTGGCTCTTCTTCCTGCAAGGCCTTTATCCCATGCTCCAGTTTCTTCTGACTCTCAGGCATGCTTGCTTGGGACTGGGCTCCCATCCATTGTGCTGATGGTAGTAAGCTCCTTCTGCAGGTTCATAAAATTACTTTGTTTGCGTGTAAACCAGTAAGAAAGTTTAATCAGAAATAGTGGTAACTTCCTTTACTCGGTGTTCCCCTACCTTTTCTGTTTTGCAAACCTAGACAAGGTAATATGAAAAGCTCGTTCATCTGAAGGCCTAGAGTGAGCCTTCTTATGGTCTTGGCTCCATCTGCTCTTGGGATTTGCTAACTCTGGGTCTGATAACAAGTGAATGTGTTGATTACACAGGTAGGAGGAGTCCTGGTGGTAAGTGCTTCTATCAATGGGGTGCTGCAGAAATTGTCATTATCCTGAGCTATCCTCAGGAAGAGAACATAAAGAGAAAGATTATCTAAATTCACTGCAAAGTGTTGCTTGTTCAGTTGCACTTGTTGCTTTATTTAGCTTCTGCCTAAAAATCAGAGGTTGATAAAGGTCTTGACAGCAACAATTGACTTCTTAATGCTTTACCTCCCTAGTAACAAGTTTCCAGTGAGCCAGATGTTTGCTATATGGACCCAAGTCATGAAGGCTCTGAAATAGGACACCACCTTCTTTCCCCCCCTCTTCTCTGCAGATTTCTGAGTCCTCTGAATATGCTTATTGGCGGTACTGTGGTGGTGCTGGTGTTCATGGGGTTTGTGTGGGTATCACACAACAAGGATATACTCCGCAGGCTGAAGAAGCAGTACCCAACCACATTTGTAGTGGTCATCATGCTGTCTAGCTACTTCCTGATCTCCTATCTGGGAGATGTCATGGTGTTCATGTTTGGGATCACACTTCCTCTCCTCTGTAAGTACTTTTCCTCTTCTCTGGGGGTCTAGGGGTGTGTGACTTGAGCTTTCTTAAGTAAGTCTGCGAAGTCTAAATTAGCTGTTGCCTTTACTATCTCTATTTAAATGATCCCAAACCAAAACTGGGGGGGGGGGACGGACGGGACGGGGGGACAGACACACGCAAAGCAGCACAAGCCCTCTCTAATGTTGTTATTAAATGGGTACCTGTGGTTACTTAAATGGCCATTGAGACTTCATCTTCTTCCAGTGACATCATGGCGTTGGAGTGTGGATTAACATGAATGCTGTAAGAACTATGCATTCCTTGGGCATTAACAATTAATAAGTGTATTTCTGTCATGCAGTGATGTTTGTCCATGCTTCTCTGAGGCTCCGGAACATAAAGAACAAGCTGGAGAACAAGATGGAAGGAATAGGATTGAAGAAGACCCCGATGGGCATCATACTGGATGCTCTAGAACAGCAAGAGGATAGCATCAACAAACTGGCTGACTACATATCTAAAGTGAAGGAGTAAGCAGCTGCAACGTGGCATTTTTACCAGTTGCAGAAGTGTAGTTGCTATTTACTATTGTTCAAGCTTGCTTTCAGTTTGTGTACAAAACAGCAAATGCACGTGGTACAGAGTAATAGTTGCAGGATACAGGTATTCCAACGTCTTCAGGGCTCCTCTAACTAAGAACATAAGAGCAGCAACTTTTTTCTATTGTATAGCAAAATATTCTGGTGTTTACACAAATACATACTAATTTAAACGTGTTTGCTTGTCTCTTCTTCTGGGGGGTAGAGGAGGAAGAGATGGAAACCTACGGAATGCAGTCTCTCAAACTGTCTTGTAGCAAATTTGTCTATTAGTAAGAGTAACACCCTTTTCATCTCAGTTCTACAAGATGCTGGGTAGCGTGTTCAGGCTGGCAATGTTCCAAGGTGAGCTGGAATGTATCAAAAGTAGGTATCTCTTGCATCCTCCAAATCTCTCATTTGAGTGGTCTGTATTGAGACCACATTACTAGCTTAACTGGCAAGTGGTAAAACTGTGCAATAATTGTAATGAATATGGGGTCCTGTTCTCAGCTGACGTTCCTCCTTTAGCAGCTGGGAAACAGTCTAAATAGATATAAACATGAAGAATATATATGGCACTGTGCCTCTGTCATTTCCAACAAAATGCATGTTTGTTCTCCGAAATCTTGATCTATAGAAACTGCTCCTCTCTGCAGGAGAGCCAAACTTCCTTGCATACCAGCTAAACTATGGACAAGCGTGGGAGGGGAAAAAAAGTTTTCAGATACATTGGATGAGCTAGGATTCTACCCTATTGGTGTTTTTAAATACTGCTACTTTAGGATTTACCTTGTTCTGCTTTAGTCTGTATAGGCTGTTTTGTAGATGGAGGTGTATGTGTGTTCTCGAGTATGGGTCATCTTTTTCTTCTTAACCAGAATGCAAAGATATAAGAAAAACATGCATCTCACTGACTCTGTACTTCTGACACTCTTCAAAGGAATAAACTGGATTTCAGGTTTACAAGTAAAAGCAATAAATGTCAAGATACAGTTTTTGAAAACCCATTCCAAATTCATGAAGATACTTGCCTGTAACAACTCCTGAAAATGGTGTGTGAGGTTCTTTTATATGTATTTTAACTTAACTGCCAGCTCTGATGGAATTATCTTGATAACAGGAGCTTACCAACAATAGGGGGGGGAAGTTGTCCAGGTGACACTCCATATCAGATATTCTTGCATTTCTCTTTTCTAACAAAGTAATTAGTTTAACTAAAAAGCAAGGATCCTTAAAGCTGAAGCTTTTATGTAACTTACCATGCTGTTTTCATAGTGGACTGTGTAGAAATCTGAACATGTCATTCCATTTAAGTGTTAAAGTGATCAGTATTTATTGAAAATGTCTGTATATTCCAGCTGAAGAGTCAATGGCCTGTTCCTCACTTGTAGCGCATGGTCTTTGTTTTTTGAAAACTGTTTCCACACTAAAAGAACATAGTAGCCTATGACTTCATCATTACTGTAGAATTTTAAAAACTGCACAGTTATGAAGAAAAATAAATTCTAATGGTGATTACTGAGTGCATTTATTTCAGGTTGGGAAAGTAGTTGGAAACTGAATGTGTGTCTGTGGCTGGTAGAACTCCCTAGAGTGGTGGTGGGAGATCAGTCACCCTGCAGCTTGTGCTGCAAGCCCACGCTTGTGATGAGCTACTGGCTTTGAATGCTCTGTATCTCTATTAACTTTGTTGAGGCATGAGGGACCTCTGAGCTGCAGGAACGTTACGGCCTTGCTCTTGGCATCCTTACAAAGGCTTCTCTACAGAGTTGGAGTACTTGAGCATCCGTTTGCTGGTTCAGTCTCTTACATAACTCTACTTTACTTAACTGGGATTTTACACTTCTTTTAATTACCTGAGAGGGATTTCTGCTTTTAGAATTACTGGGAGCTGTGCTAGGAAGCCAACTCTGCTGCAGTCAAACTGACGGTGCATCTGTATCTGGCTGCCTCCCTCCTCCTGTGATCAGTTGAGAGGCTGCTCGGTGGGAGAACACTGATCAGAGCGGGGCTCCACAGGTCCTGCTCCGTGTACCCTGGTAATAGGTGCCGGCTGCTGCAGCTCTGCTGCTTTGGCTGCTTCTGGGTGTAGCAGTAATTTGTGCCTGGCAGCTTGATGGAAATTGTAAAACACTGTAATACATTTTCCTTTGTACTGCCAAAGTCTTGGCTGTGCTAGTCTGGCCTGCGAGGCAGTATGGAGAGCAGCCCGCTCTAATAGCTTTCTGGGGGAGTTGCTTTTTGCACTTGTCATTTGCTGCTGTGCTCCATGTGAGGGCTTGGTTGAAAGTACCAAGTTCCTTCCCTTTCCTACTTTTATCCTTTACAAAAAGAGAGGGCTGTATGAAACAAGTGCAATGAAAATGTTACTTCTTTTTGTATGTCCCTGCCATGCAGAAATGTCTCCCCCCTCCCCTTTACGTGATACTTAAAAAAAATGACTTGCTATGTCTTAGGTAATACATCAACTAGGTTTCCCAAGTCTGCAGCATTACAGTTGCAGGCAGAGGCAGAGCTGAGAAGGAGCTTTACAAGTTTGGAAGGTGGAGGATTTGAAAGAGAGCAGGTGATAGATACAAAAAGGACAAGGATAAATGAAAACTTGACCAGATGATAGTGGAGACTACCTTGGATTCAAAGAGGTCCTGGACATTGCTGATAACTACAGGACTATTATAACAAATGTGGGGAGGGGGAGCAGAGTGGGACTGGGATTTAGCTGCCAGGGGAAGGTTGCCAAGAGTTATAGGCAGGAGCAAGGAGAGACTCACCTGAAGGAAATCCTGGCAGGAGCTGTAAAGCTGTGCCTTTTGAGCAAGAGTATCAGCCACAAGAAGGGAGGGGAGCTGCATGTTAGCAAGGGGAAAGGCTGTGGGCTTTTCTTTCCCTATGCCTTATAGCTTTAAGCCTTATAGCTTTAAATGGCTTTCTTTAAAAAAGACACAACACAACCAAAAACAACAACCAACACCACCAACTGAACAAAAAACCCCAAAACCCACCAAAACCAGCTGGTCTCTTGCGGATGTCTCCCACAAGAGCGTGACTTACCTGTAGCTGCTTTACAAAAGAGGCTTGCAGCAAAAAAAATCTAATGTGATTAACAAAGGTGAGGAGAAAAAATGTCACAAAAATATTAAAGAAAAAATAAGTTGTGTATAAGCAGGGTTAACCCCACCATACCCAGCTCTGCTAGGGGTGAGACGTGCTATTCACACCCCATACTGGGAGGAATGAGGAGTTTCTTAAACCCCTGGCAAAGGGAGGGGTAAGGCTCATCCTCCTGCCACTTCAGAGTAGGGTGGAGAGAGATGTGAAATGGCATTTCAGTACTCTCCAAGGTGGCTGTAATTAAGGATTACATCATGGGCAGAGGTGAATTGTGGGGAATGAAGATTACAAGCCCTCCAAACAGAGCGTGGCATCATCTTCTATATGCTGATCAGGTATGGTACCAGCTAAACTGTGTTCTGCCATAGAGGTAGCTTGAACATCAAGCCGAGGTGTTTGATGTACCAGAGCAGTCGTGCTGTTCTTTGAGCATCTCATTAGCCATGGAAATGCTGCACACATCTTATGGAGAGAGCTTTATTTCGTTTCTGTTTCCTTAACCTAAAAAATGAAGCTGTATACATGGAAACCAAATACATTTCTCGTGGACAAGAGAATAATAAAGGAGCATGTGTGTGAAAAGAGAGATAAGATAAAGCACAGCATGTTCCTGCAGAATCTGGCAGCAGAAGGACCACGTGGAAGCAAAATAGTTTGCTGACAAACTAGAAAGACAAGGTTATTGATGCCTCTGAGAAAATACTCCCACAACAAACTGGAGCCTCAAATCCACTTGGCAGACAGATGGCACCAGGAGTGTGTGATACCTGATGGAAACGCTTAGCACTGACTTTTCCCATGCCAGCCGTTTTCACCACGCTCACAAAAGTGTGTATCGCAAGCTTTGTTCCCAAAGAGTCGTCTATACCACCTGGGTTCTGCAGAAAACATCTGCTGAAACAGTTGTAGGCAAAACTTGAATAGTCTTTATTCCGAGTTGTTTCCTTCGGGTCAGTCTGGTCTCACTCCAGCTGCTTCGGCAATGGCACCTGGACAAGGACACTAAGTATTAGGAGGAGGAAATTTCTCAGTCTTCTTTCCCAAACCCATTTAGTTTAATGCAAACCTTCAGAAACTGTAAAAAGATCAAAACTATACCAGCTGGGATCTCCAAGGAGCTCGGGTTGGGAGTTTCTTTTGTTTGTAATTCCTCACTTGCTGTTTGTGATTCTTAGTGCCCAGGAAATCAATTTATAGCAATGAGTCCCACCGCAGGGCAAACAAACACGCAGCTTGGCTCAAGCAGTAAAACCTGATTTTAAAGATGAAGCTGAGGATATTGAGGCAAATAAGGAGTTACCTTAGGATCACACAGGCAGGTGAGAATAAAACCCTAATGCCCCAAATCCAAGCCCTTTGGCCCAATGACAGAGGATCAAAAAAACCCAATAAAACAAAACCCCCAAAACCTAAAAATCAACCCCAAAACATGTAGCCATTGCTTCACCTCTCCATGGGCTGCGACAGCAATCAGTATCTGGCCCGTTTAGGATGGACCATGAATTCATCCCTCCGCCCCAAACCCCACAGCCCTCATTTATAAAAACCTTCTGAGGATTTTGGGGGGAATGGCTGGGGTTTGCTATCGCTCCCTGGCACCCGGGTTTCTTAATCACCGCTGTGCAAAGTGAGGGCTGTGCCCGGCAGAGCACCAGCACCACCATCCTCCATCTTCCTGAGAGGTGGGGAGGAGGCAGCAGATCCCACCGCGATGACGGAGCCACCTGCCATCACAAGCACCGTCTGGGTGGTTACAGATAAACCGCCACCTTTACAAGAGGAGGTCTTGTTGTCTTAGACGTGGCACCGAAATGCAAAACATAGACTGAGATCTAGAAAAGCCAGAAATGCCCTGAGGAGAGGCCCTGGCTGCAGCCAGGTCAGACTGGTCAGCAGAAACCACATCCCCAAGACTTGGTTTGGGGGCAGAATGGTCACATTAAACCTGGACCAGGGTCACTGTAGGACCTGCTGCTGCCAAAATTTCAGGACTAACTACTCTCTCTGGAGTTACTGAGGGAATAATTATTTCTGTGTAGGTATAAAAGAAAGCAAAAATGTGGCCCACTGTATAAAAATGTCAGTATTAAATAAAATATGAATGACAAAATACTACTTGACCATTTTTCATTGCAAAGGATTTTCCGTCCTCTTCCTCTAGCCTTAGCAACACAGACGCATCAACATCACTAGCTCCAAATAGATCAGTCAGCTTTTAGTATTTCTTGAATAACGGCACAATGCAAAGAAATAAAACATTTCAGGGAAGCAAAAGGTTAAATCTGATGGCCAGCGTTTTGAGAAGTGGCCCATGAGTTTGGT